TTCCTGGGCTAGTAACACGATTGGGTGGATTTGGATCCTAGCCCAGGACGAAGCTTTACATTACACTTCAATTAGATGTTTCACAACATATCATGCATTCAAGGCAGCTTTGAATACACTACAATTACCCTCGTCTGTGTGAACGTAGTTTGTGTAAAAATTTGTAGAAGTAAACGTGGCCTAATGTATTATTAAAGGGGTTCTTTATGGTAAAGCCATTAACTTGATGTTACTAGTGGCTTGTCTAAGAATTTCTGGATTGTGTCTGAAGGGAGTGGTTCCCTACAGACATCATTAATGCACTATTTGTAGCGCAAACTCAGCTTAGGGAAAAGTTACTTCTTTTCTTGTCTGTTGTCTCTCGCTGTTCTTTCTCCCACCCCATGCAGTGAAGCGTCTCTGTTTAACTAGCTGTATCTCAGGGGCTCACAGATCGGCTCCACGTCTATCCGAAATCTAAACTAGCTGTGTAAAAATATTTGCAGTCAGCCTTTTTTTCCCTATTATTTTTACTGGCCTGTGTGCCGTGCAGTTTTGTGTTCTCTAAAGACATGTGCAAGTGAATAAGGTGGTACAGTCCTGACGTGGTAGAATGGGCTGTACCACTTCAAGCCATAGGTGGGCATCACGTTGGTACGTGCCCCCTCCTCAGCTTAGATAAGCTGAGCCTGACTCTCTGGTATGTTATTTATTTAGATACTTGTACTATGCTTTCCGTCCCAATGGGACCTAAAGGGGCTTACAACATGAACACATAAAGCTGCCTTATACTGAATCAGACCATCGGTCTGTTAAGGTCAGTATTGCCTACTCAGACAGGCAGCGGCTCTCCAGGGTCTCAGGCAGAGGTCTTTCACATCACCTACTGCCTGGGCCTTTTAACTGGAGATGGCGGGGATTGAACCTGGGACCTTCTGTATGCCAAGCAGAGGCTCTGCCACTGAGTCACAGCCCTTCCCATGATCCTCTTCACCTACATTTTATCCTTACAACAACAGCCCTGTGAGGTAGGTACCAGTTTTCTAATTCCAGCGAGCCTTTACGTTGGAGGAGCATTCAGAGCTGTGGTTTTCCTTAGTGACTGGAATAAGGGGCCCAGTTCATTCTGCTGCCTCAGAACTCTTGCCTTCTCATCCCCACCTTATTGGTTGATCCTAAAAAAAAAAAAAAAAAAGGAGCTGCAGTGGCTCAAGTGGTTAAGACGCTGAACTGCAGGCTGTGGAAGGTCGGTAGTTCAGCAGTTCGAGACCCGGGTGCCGCATGACGGAGTGAGCTCCCGTCTCTAGTTCCAGCTCCTGCCAACCTAGCAGTTCGAAAGCAAGAAATTGCAAGTAGATAAATAGGTACCACTTCGGTGGGAAGGTAACAGCGTTCCGTGCGCCTTGGTGTTTAGTCATGCCAGCCACATGACCACGGAAACGTCTTTGGACAGCGCTGGCTCTTCGGCTTTGAAACGGAGATGAGCACCGCAACCCTAGAGTCGGATTTGACTGGCTTTCGAGCAAGGGAACCTGTTTACCTTTACCTTTTTAACAAAAGGTATTATGTGGGTTGTGTTCTGGGTTTTTTGAGGGGGCTTTTACTTTTACTTTGGGACTATCCCAGGTGCTGCTGACAACTTTTTGTGTTTACATGCAGCTTAACGTTTCTGTTCTGTTACCCTGCTTCCGACCTGTATCGGCCTTTCACCTTAATTGCGCTTCTCTCTTTCCTCAAAGTGTATGATCTTACCTTTTATTGTAATTATCTGTAACATAGGTTATGATCAAGTATGATATCCTACAAATGAAGTATAACTGCTGGACTGAGAAAGAAAGGGGGGGGTTATACCAATCTGATATGTGACTTTAAACTTCAGTTGTATAGGAGCGAGTACAAAAAATTGAAAAGCGAGCGCTATGGCAGAGAACGCGGTTAAAAATTTATTTGGTGGGACTTTAGCAGTTAACCTCCTCCCTTACAAAAATAATTGGGATCAGGTCCTTGGTGTACTTCTCACCCACTCAGATGAATAGCCGGTGCCCTCTGCTTCTAAAAATCCAAGGCCCAAAGATTTCTTGTACTTAAAGAGCTATAAAACATGTGCAGCAGGTTCAATGTCGGGCTTGGAGGATAGCAAAACAGAAGGCTGAAGTCCTCTACTCATGCATAGAGTTTGGGTTCTTTGCTGTGTCTCAGGCCTTATTCATGTTTAGATGCTTGTGCTGCTGTATCTGTTCTTTTGACATGTTTGGTGCAGCCAGTTTGGTGTCGTGGCTAGGAACGCGGACTGTAATCTGGGAGAACTGGGTTTGATTCCCCACTCCTCCACGTGCAGCTGCTGGTGTGACCTTGGGTCTGTCACAAGTTCTTTCAGAGCTTTTCTCTCAAGAGCAGTCCTCGAGAGACCTCTCTCAGCCCCACCTACCTCTCAGGGTATCTGTTGTGGGGAGGGGAAGGGAAAGGAGATTGTAAGCCGCTCTGAGACTCCTTCGGGTAGTGAAGGGTGGGGTATAAATCCAATCTCCTCCTCCCCCTCCCCATGTTGCCATAAATTTTAGAATAGAGGATCTACGTGAATGGGGTGGGGGCGGGGATCCTTCCTAATCATCATTTAATTGGGGAGGAGGGCAGTGGTTGGCTGGAAGGGAATTGGTCCCGTTGTATGTGATCCCAGAGCTAGAAGTCATGTGAAACCGTTCTCACACTGCTAGCATTAAATGCCAACACAGATTCAGTCTGAACACGCACAGTTGCATAGATAATACAGAACATTTCTTTAAAATGTAATGTAATAACTTTTTAATATCGCTGTTACAATTCGAAGGAATGATATCACCTGCGTGTGGGCGATGAGAGATATCTTAATAATATTTTATGTTCTGATTTGTCTTGTTACTGTTTACTGTCTTGTGGGCCCTTAAAAGATCACCAGAATTTGATTCCAGTGCTTTCGTGGACTGTAGCCTATTTCTTCAGACGCAGTGGGTGGATCCTCCTCACTGTGCAGATATTTAGTGTAGGATGGCGCCCAAGTAATCAAACAGAGGTACAGTTTTAAATTATAGGAGGCTTCTTTCACGATGTAGTCTTAGTGGTGCTACTACAAATGTTGATTCCCATATAGCAAAACACTATTTATATTGGAACGATGTTGTATAATACGGACATGTGTTTCAATGGCAGTATACCTTGATAGGTTTGTAAGTTTTATTACCGATAGACTTGTGTGTGACTGTTACGAGAATAAGGCAATTCATATTAATTCATAAGGTAGGAGATTTTTGCTTAGGCTTGCCGAATTAGACAGAATAATAGGGTGCATTTTAACAAATTTTAGCTAGCATAATAGTTTACATTTACAGTTACAATATGTATCTAATTTTAACTAATGTAATTAATGTAATGTAACCATCGGAATGTTTATTTGATTACTGTGGGTATGATTTTTCTGATCTCAGATCGTAATAAACTAACTACTACTATTACTAGTGTAGGGTGTAAAGAAAAAAAGGGGGTTTAGGGGCCATCAAATGCAAGAAGTACAGGGTGAAACGCAATTTCGTAAAGTTCAAAATTAATCAACAGAAACAATCAAGAAAAATACATGTTGCCCCATGCCTTCTGCATTTCATGATCCCTTTATATCTCACCCTCTGGTCCAGTGCAACTCATTCTTGGTCTCTGTATGTTTGTTGATTCAAATCTGAATTCATATTATTACGTTTTGCCCTGCACTTCCCATAGTTTATGGTCCCCGGACCTGCTCGTAACAGATTTGTTTTCTGAGGGGACACAGCTTACTGGTAGAGCATCTACCTGTCATGCAGACAGAAGGTCTAAGGTTCAGCCCCTGGCATCTCCAGGCAGTGGGTGACACGAAAGACCTCTGCCCGTGACCCTGGAGACCCTCTGTCAGTCCGAGTAGACAGTACTTGATGGACTGACAGTCTGACCCAGTATAAGGCAGCTTCATGCATTCAAATGTCCAGTGTCTGCCCAGTGAGGATCCTCCGCTTGGGTCTGAAGAAGTGGGCTCTTTTCCACACACACAAAAATGCCATGCTGAAATAAAAATATTTTTGTCTGGAAGGTGCCACACGACTCCTGTTTATTTTTTTGCTGCAGCAGTCTTAACATCTTTCTCCCCTCTGGAATTAGTATCGTTTTGTCCCAGGCAAAAGACTTGTCCTAAACCTGCATGAAAACGACTCCTGTTTATTTTTTGCTGCAGCAGTCTTAACATCTTTCTCCCCTCTGGAATTAGTATCGTTTTGTCCCGGGCAAAAGACTTGTCCTAAAGCCTGCATGAAAACGACTCCTGTTTAATTTTTTGCTGCAGCAGTCTTAATATCTTTCTCCCCTCTGGAATTAGTATCATTTTGTCCCAGGCATTTATGAAGACTTGTCCTAAAGCCTGCATGAAACCAAACAAACAAACAAACACACACACACCAACACCCTTCTTTTACTGATTTATTTATATTTATTTATTTATACTTTCAATTTTGTACCCCGCTCACCCCCGAAGGGCTCTGAGCGGCTTACACGGTGCATGGTGCAGAGACCTATGCAGAAACCCTAACTATGGCCACAGTAAATCTGGGGGGGGGTGGGGGCCCTACCAGGTACCCTTCTGATGCTGAATCCAAGCTTTTGTAGTTTTTCGGTGCATCTTTTATCAACCACCTGGGCTCGTCGGTGAGCCCAGAGCTGCTTTTGGAAGGCATACCTGCCTGTCATGTCAGACCTTGGCTCACTAATGCCTGGCGTGCCTCTGGGAAATCTCCCTTATGATAATATTTTTGTAAAGTCTTGAGTCGCCCTTTCTGTACCTCCCCACTAGTGAAAAGGACAGGTCGGGGTGTTTTGTTTCCTTCAGTATTTCCGCAGAGCTTAACGATTAACCCTGTTTGTTTTTAAATTTCCTTTTCAGGTGCTGATGGACTCCTAGGCAGATGCCTCCCGACAGACTTCTTATCGCCCTTTGTCTGGCGGACAAAGAATACGGAGAAGTCGCCTTGAAAGGACCGGAGAGAGGACTCTGGGCAACAGCTTCTGGGCTGGACTTCAAAACGACGGGATAATCTCTCTCTCGCTCGCTCGCTTTTTCTCCAGTCAGTCCGCGATGGAGACTCTGTCCCAGGACATTTTGCTGGAGTGCCAGATCTGTTTCAACTACTACAGTCCTCGACGGAGGCCCAAATTGCTGGACTGCAAGCACACCTGCTGCTCTGTTTGCCTCCAGCAGATGAGGACCAGCCAGAAGGACCTGAGGTGCCCGTGGTGCCGTGGCATCACCAAGCTGCCCCCCGGGTTTTCCGTCTCGCAGCTGCCGGACGACCCGGAGGTCATCGCCGTGATCGCCATTCCCCATACTTCAGAGCACACTCCGGTCTTCATCAAACTTCCCAGCAATGGGTGCTACATGTTGCCGTTGCCCATCTCCAAGGAGAGGTCCCTGTTGCCGGGGGACATTGGCTGCCGCCTCTTGCCGGGCGCTCAGCAGAAGTCCGTCACCGTGGTGACGATCCCGGCCGAGCAGCAGCCGTTGCAGGCGGCGATCCCGTTGCAGGAGACAGGAGACGAGGAACGAGACAGGAGGGGCATGGTGAAAAGCTCGACCTGGTCGGGGGTTTGCACGGTCATCCTGGTGGCCTGCGTCCTGGTCTTCCTCCTGGGCATCGTCCTCCACAACATGTCCTGCATCTCGAAGCGTTTCACTGTGATCTCTTGCGGCTGAAAGGCGGCTGTGGCAGCAACACTCCTGTGGGCTAATTTTCGGGGTTTGGGAAGGGTGGTTGTGGTGGTGGCAGGAAGCCACGAGTTGGAGCATTAGGACCGTTCAAGGGGACTGTTCTGCAGCACTGCGTGATCAACGCCAGACAAAGTCTATAGGCTGCTGTAAAAAGTAGGACTGAGAGATGCGTCGGCAGCACACCGGGGGGGTGGGGGTGGCACGTTCCGTGTGTCTCTGCCGGTAACTGTATCGAGGAAGACTGCATGCATCACCATAATCACTTAACAAATGAGCTGTAATTTATAATGATGTCATCATGTTATGAGACTAAAGATGTCTGTTAGCTGGTTCTGCCGTACATACAAGTCTAGAACGTGATCTCGCCAACTCCTCGCCCCCCCCCCTTAGCAGAGTAGTCGACCACAAATCAAAAATGCTGTACGTTCAAGTAGAATTAAACGTCAGAATTAAGGAAGTCAAATCTACCCAGTACTTTTCGCCCAGGCGTAACGAAAGCTTTTTTTCATTTTTAAACAGCGACTGGGGAAATTGTGAAAAGTAGTCCTTTAGTTCAGTAAGGCTTCTTTGGGGCATCTTTTAAATTGCACATTGATTAAAATGTTTGTTTTTTCTAATCTATGCTTGCAGTTATAGAAAGGAAAGATTTTTTTTTTACGTGTCGGAAATACTTCAGGTGTAATATATGTGTGTGTATGTTTCTGTGCGATTTTGTTTTCCTCCTGTAGTTTTAAGTGACTTTTTATTAATTGGAGCGGGACCCAAGCAGAGAAGCAATAAAGGGAAGTAGGAAAGGGTATCTAGGTGTCCAGCCAAAACCTTTTTTTAATCTGCGTATGCCCTTGTGGAAAAAATGTTACTTGAAACTGTAAACCCCGGGCATTCCTTTTCAAGCAGACGAAACGAGCTCCTTAAAGGGATTTCTCCAGGACCCGAAGAAGTTGCTGCTCTTTCTATAGGGATTTAGAAGAGTTTTGTTCACATACGGCTGCCTTTCTGTACTTTTGAATGCAGGTTGAAAACTGTGTCACCGATGGAAGTGGAACTTGGGGAGAGGTCTCTCGATCCTTGTTCATTATTGCAACTGTGAGATGCCAGTGGAGGCTGTGGTTATGATGAAGTGTATGCAAAATAAAATCGTAGTGTGGCACCCCACCTTTGTTAAAGGTCTCACAGTGTGGAAGAGTCACGTGGCATGGAAAAGTCACAATTGCCAGACAGTGGGAGAGGAAGGAGAAGGCAGATAGAGTTTAAATAGTTGCATCACCTCGGTCAAGGTAAACAAAAAATTGGGTCCAGTGAGTCATCTGGCCCTGGAAGAAGATCGACGGCGCTAAGGGGAACAGATGGCACCGAGTGGGTATAACAGCATTATCACGCCATCTTTATGGAAATTTATGGAAATTTGAACATCGAGAGCACGTAATAATGCTGGAAATTGTTGATAGGATTTTAAATGGTTTTAAATGTGGTTTATGCGAGGCTTATGCCTGATTGTGAGCCGCCCTGAGCCCGCGTAGCAGAGAGTAGAATTTCCTTTCCTTTCTTACATGCCCAAGGAAATGCTGATCACCACTTTGGGGTCAGTGAGCAATTTTTCTCCAGGCCAGTTTGGCTGGGGACCCCGGACGTTTTTTGTTGTCATCTTCTGGATGTGGACTAACGATCACTGAGTGCGTGTATGTGTGTGTGGGGGAGGTATTTGTGAATTTCCTGCATTGTGCAAGGGGGTTGGACTAGATGACCCTGGAGGACCCTTCCAACTCTGTGATTCTATAATTTACTACTGTTTGTCCCCCGGTATATTAAAAAAAAAGCCAGTTAATTACCACATCACACAGAGAAGCCCTCTTTCTGCTGTGCTAATTTTGGAAATGCGAGGCAGTGTGTGCAAATCGGTCCCCTCCCTTCCCTGTGCAGTGGTATGGCCCATTCTATCAGTCCGGATTCTTCCTCTCTTTCCTACTGCATCATAAGAGGCTATGGAGAGGGCACGCCGAACCAAGCAAGAGTGGCAAATCCCATCTTCCCCTGCTTTTTGAGTCTCAGCACGAGTTGAACTGAGCAGGACCCAGCCGTAGGGATCAACTGGAGATCCCAATTGTCCCAATTAGGCTCCGTCCGATATCTAACGTGAACTGATGTTTGCAAAGCCATATATGCTAATTGAGTACTCATCGGCTAGAACTGGCTCTTCCTTTTCCCAGTTCTTAACATTAGGTCTTTTACGGGGCCAAGATGTCATCGCCTAACATAACACGATGACTAGTTAATGCTGGGCCAGCAACGAAGCTTATGTGCCTCTCTGGAAAAGAACATTTCTTCTCTGTTTCATAAATAAACCCTGCTTGTTACACAATGCTGTATCTTTCCAGCCGGACATGAGACCGTGTCGCTTTGTAACCTTGTTGTCAGAGACTTGTTTGGGAAATGCGCTGAGACAGTTCGGTCCGTGCTCTGTGCAGCATGCGATGGGAAGAATTCACGTACAAAGGGCTTCTTGTTACACTCTATCAGGCTAAGGATCTGCTGAAAAACAGCAAGGGAATTTAAATATATTAGTGACCTTTCTTTGATGGCAAATGGTCCTTTAAGCTCGGTCGCCTGCCTTTTTCTCTGGCTGCTCTGTTACCAACCAACCCACAGAAAGACTTTTCAAACTAATATTGACCCAATTCCAAGCAAAATGCTTAACGCTTTTCCAAGCTGTTAAATACGCTGGTTAGCATTTCAGATGCAGGCCTTTTTCATATCTTCCTCATAACGGGGGACTTTCATCTTGTTTTGCCAACAGAAATGGCTTCATAAATATCCAGAGAAGGCACTTCCCAATTGCGTTTCATTAAAGCATCAATGACAGTTGTCTTATTTCTAGAGCTAATTTTTGTGGGGGGGTTTTTTGGGGGGATAAGCAGACTTGAATGAAAACATTAACCAGGGATTACGGAGGATTTACATACATAAGAAACACCGTTCTCAGGCCGCTGATCTACAGTTTCCCATTTCTACCACCACCAATTAATATTCTGAGGCCAATACAATATGCAGTTGGCATGGGGGTGAAAGAAAGATTTTAGATCCGAAACAGAGGATTTCTGGTTGCTTGAGGCTGGTTGGAATGTAGAAAAGAATGTAGATAGGACCATGGGTTTCAAAGCCAGTGTGAGGTAGTGGTTAAGTGGCAGACTCTTATCTGGAGACCTGGGTTTGAATCCTGCTGGGTGCCCACGGGCCAGTCACCGTTCTCTCAGAACTCTCTCAGTCCCACTTTCCTCACAAGGGGACTGTTGTGGGGAGAGGAAGGGAAAGTCGATTGTAAGCCGCTTTGAGACTCCTTTGGGTAGAGAAAAGCGGGGTATAAGAACCAACTCTTCTTCAAAAGTACATTACCAATGTATTAAAAAATTTTAAAGTAAAAAAAGTGCCTTCATTTTTCTTACATTCATACAGACAAGGGTGTGCATGCACATGTTTTCAGCAGTCCTCTGTTACTTGCCATAATTGCTAAGCCTATAGATTGATAGTCGGTCCAGTGGAATACGCAGCCTAGAAGAGAAGAAGAGTTGGTTTTTATACCCTACTTTTCTCTAGCTGGAGGAGTCTCAGTGTGGCTTACCATTGCTTTCCCTTCCTCTCCCCTCAACAGGCACCTTGTGAGGCAGGCGGGGCTGAGAGAGTTCTGAGAGAACTGTGACTTTCCCAAGGTCACCCAGCAGGCCTCATGTGTCTCAAAGTGGCTTACAATCGCCTTCCCTTCCTCTCCCCACAACAGTCATCTTGTGAGGTAGGTGGGGCTGAGAGAGTTCTGAGAGAACTGGGACTGGCCCAAGGTTACCCAATAGGCCTCGTGTGTCTCAAAGCGGCTTACAATCTCCTTCCCTTCCTCTCCCCCCAACGGGCATCGTGTGAGGCTGGTGGGGCTGAGAGAGTTCTGAGAGAACTGGGACTGGCCCAAGGTCACCCAGCAGGCCTCATGTGGAGGAGGGGGGGGAATCAAACCCAGTTCTCCAGATAAAAGTTCACCACTCTTATCCACTACACCATGGTGACTTTCTGTGAAAAAGCAAGTTTGGGCAGATAAATCTCAAAGGGATGAAGAGACAAAAGGCTTTGGAAATAGGGAAGGGAAAGATCACTCCAGGTGTTACATCCATATAAGGGAGCGGTGGCGCAGACGGTAGAACGCCTGCTTTAACAACTATGAACAGCCATTGTGGCTGTTCGAGAATCACCGCGGTCGGAGTGAGCTCCCGACCCTAGTCCCAGCTCCCGCCCACCCAGCGGCTCGAAAGCAAAGTAACATCTAAATAGCGAGTAGAGAAATGGGTACCTACCCTTAGATGGGTAGGGGGCACACTCCTTCAATGGTATGTGGTGGCGGCATGGAGATGGCGCAGACGGCAGAAGAGAGAGAACATCGACGGTGGCAGAACAATGATGGTGGAACTCGGTGGAGCAACCCCTGGTGGCCAGCAAGAACATTGTGTGGCCGATGACGACTAAAGGTGGAGACCGGAGGCGAGCGACAGAGTGTATGCGGGGCGCGGCGGAGCCTTGCTGGACAGAGCCGACGCCGGAAGCAAACACAAAAGCGTGCGCCTGTAGCCTGCCCAAAAGAAGAAACCGAGCCGAGCTAGAACAACAACAAGGATCCACCACCTGGGTGCCGGTAGGATGTCCCCCCCCCCCGAAAAACATGTGGCCTAAGTTAGGGTTCAGCGTTACTAGAAAGCACCATGTAAACCGCCCAGAGACCCTTCAGGGTTAGGGCGGTATAGCAAGTCTAAAGTATAAATAAAATAAATAAATATATAAATGTGTACGAGGATTCTGGCAACTGTGTGTACAGGGAGTGTACAAACTCACCACTGGATCCCCCACCCCCTGGTTCTTGTTTGTGTGTACCAGAGCTGTATCTGCAAGGAAATAGGCACATATTGATTTATTTATTTATTCCTTCGATTTATATACTGCTCACCTCCTAAGGGCTCTGAGCGGTTTACATTATACAATTCATACAATTCCTACCTAAGGGCCACACACATACAATGGAGGGAAGTGATTAACCTAACAGGCACTCTATAGCGAAGTCTTGTTGTTATAGTCTCTCTGCGGGAGGTCTTTTCCAATCCGGCGACGGCGTCTTCCTGGCGCAGGTCTTCCTTCGGTCGCCGTGATTCCTCGGGCTTGGGCCAAGGGCACGTCGGCGCATGCTCCTGCTGCGGCCTCTGTCCAATAGGCTCTGGCCTGCTGCGTTGCCCCGCCTCCGCGCTCCGTCGGCCCAGCCTTCGCTCGCTCGACTCTCCACCGCCGCTATGTTCTCCGCTGCCGCCGCTCATATGCCACCACGAAGGACGGGTGTCCCCCCCTCTAAGAGCAGGTACCCATTTGTCTACTTGCCCTTTAACGGGCTTTCGAGCCGCTGGGTGGGCGGGAGCTGGGACATGGGCCGGGAGCTCACCCCGGCCACGGTGGGG